TGTCCGTGCTTGTTCTGTTAGACAGTGGACATGTGTCCGTGCTTGTCTTCTTAGGCAGTGGACATGTGTCCATGCTTGTCCTGTTAGGCAGTGGACATGTGTCCATATTTGTCCTGTTAGGCAGTGGACATGTGTCCATATTTGTCCTGTTAGGTAGTGGACATGTGTCCATATTTGTCCTGTTAGGCAGTGGACATGTGTCCATATTTGTCCTGTTAGGTAGTGGACATGTGTCCATATTTGTCCTGTTAGGTAGTGGACATGTGTCCATACATCTGAATCATAGAAACTACACCTGGAACACTGAGACATCACATGCATAGAAACTAAACCTTGATCATATAAACCAGACTTGGACCATAGAAACCAACCCTTGACCATATTAGAAACCACTGGACCATAGAAACTACATGTGGACCATATAACACAGAAACTACATCTGGACAATAGAAACTAAACCTTGACTGTAGATACCAGACTTGGACCATAGAAACTAAACCTTGACCTTAGAAACCAGACTAGGACCATAGAAAATACACTTGGACCATAGAAACTAAACCTTGACTATAGAAATCAGACTTGGACCATAGAAAATATCCTTGGACCATAGAAAATAAACCTTGACTGTAGAAAGCAGACTTGGACCATAGAAACTATCCCTGGACCATAGAAACTAAATCTTGGTCATAGAAACCAGACTTGGACCACATAAACTAAATATGTGCAAAAGCACAAATGTTCAGAAACTTATCCTGATGCATGCTCAATAATCCAGGTAGAACAATCCAAAAAAGTTCAATCTGGTCCTCTGGACATTCAAAAAAAAACACAAAAAAAACAAACAAAAAAAAAAAACAAAGCAAAAAGAAACTTAAGGATAAATATTGAGTGATGTTCTGTTGCCTTGGTGCTCCACAATCAGGTGTTCCTTCAAAACAACTTAAAACAGCAACATATTGGGTTTGGACTTTAGAAGGTCCACAGAGCCTGAGAATGAAAAAAAAATCTTCAAAATTGAAATGAGTGGTGTTTCGTCATTAACTCAACAAGCCTTTATGTTTTTTCACATTTGATGACAATAAAAACAAATAATCCCACCAGATTAAATCTATAATTTAGTTATTTCTAAACTAATAACTATTTAAAAGGTTCCAGTAGATTCATTTGATCACCTTACTGCTTGAAAATCTACATCTAATTGAATAAAACAAAAGTTTTCATCTAAAAACAGAGCAGGAATGTTACTTTCTAAGAATGTATTTTTGGTAAAAGGAGTTTTTTTTTCTTTCTAGACCATTATAGTGTCAGCAGTTTTCTCCTGGTTTGTCCAGAGCCCGTTGAGTTGTTTCCAGTCTGGTACAAAAGCTTAGACTCAGTCAGTGTACAGCACCTTGGACGGGCTGGTTGGACCTGAGGACCATGACATCTACGTTGAGTTTTAGATTAAAACCAGGAGACAGGGGTTCAGCAGGGGCTCAGCCTGTACCAGTCTGTCACCACTTTCTCCGGGTGAGTCATTGTGTCCGTCCACTGCTCCACGACCTGCTGGATGGGGCTGTCGAAGCCCAGCTGGACCTGAATCCAACAGAGACAAGCAGATTACTTCTCAGCCCGTTCTCTTTTAAAGCCTTTGGCGAATTAGGATCTAGTAGGTACCTGCTGCGTACCCATTCGATCATTCTGTAGGGCCAGTTGTGCTTACTAAAACTGTTTAACAGTCCTTGCACAGATCCAAGACAGTGAGCCATTAGCAGTTTGAAAACAGGCTGAAATCATTTCAACCTTAGAACCTCTTAATTATTTGCTTTTACCAGATAAAACTGTGGATCAAAGTGCCAGGTATCCTGAAGAAAATGTTGGAGGAAACTAGCTACAAGATGGTACAGTATGTCAGAACTGGTCTTAGGGTTAGGCAGGATGTACCTACAGACTTCAGAGTTAGATTTAGCATAAAAGCAGGATGCTAGTGAGGAAATGCCAAGGTGCATCAATTTTATATCTGAGTTAAAATGATCACTAAACTTTGGTGAATGATATTAGAGTTGGTCAAGAAGGAATTGGACCTTTCTTTCACAGCGACAGAGCTTGAGACTACAGTCAAATATTTACAATGCATTAAAAGTCCAGGGGCCTCATGTGCAAAGACTTGTGTGGATTTCCTACTGACACATAGCATGCTCTTAAATTGAGAAAACGGCGTACACACAAATAAATCCAGATGTATGAAAACGTACGTAGGCATGAATCCAGCACACTTTCTTAGTACATCCCAGTCAACATGGAAATGAATGCACACGAAGGAATACCTGAACAGCAGAACACCAGTAACTGTCACGAGAACTGAATACCCAGAGTGAAAGGTCTGAATATGAACAACTCAACAACAGGAAGGCAAGTTCAGTGATTTTATTTACAGTGAATAATATCACTGGTAATGTCAGGAATCCTGTGGAGCAAGAAGAAGGGTCAGCTCTGGAGTTCTGCAGGAATGGTTTACCGTATTCATACTGTCTTCTGTTTCTTAGTGGTCGGTAGATGGTTGTTGGAGAATGACTGGCTACAATAATCCTGTGCAAACAAGGAGTTATCCAGAGTGGAAAGTAGTCCATGATGGGCAAGTGGTTGGAAGGTGAGGAAGATAGCTGAGGAGGCCAGAAAGAGGTTTTCAGAGTTTCATAAAGGATTCCAAGAACAGGTAAGTCTCAGGAGGTTCACTTTGGCAAGGTAATGCTCTAGGGTCGAAGATAAGTCATCAGATGCCTTTTATGCTCTAGCGTTGAAGATAAGTCATCAGATGTCTTTTATACACTGGGTGTCTTATTACGAAGATTGTTCTCAGGCGTGGTATTTTGGCACCATCTAGTGACCTCAGGAAAGAAGTGAAACTGGAACTCCAACGGTAACCATAGAAACGTGCATACACTAGCCATGAAGTTGGCATGGGGCTGCTCACATTTCCACGGTCATTTCATTATTTCCATGGTCATTTCATTCTTGAAATATTTGAAGTTTTGCATGAAAAAGGGTGTACTCCATGTTTTTGTGCATACGGACACTTTGTGCAGGAGGCCCGAAGTTCCGAACTACCAACCTTTCAGTCATGGATATCCTCTATGCCGATGACGTATGCCTAATGGCGGACAGAATGGAAGCTTTACAGAGCTGTCTCAATGCCTTGCATGAATTGTGTCACAAGTTTGGATTAGTTGTAAGTATCACCAAGACCCAGATACTTAAACAGCCTCCAAGAGGCTGTGATGCTGATGCTAACACGCTGAACATTGAAGGGATAAACCTGGAAGAAGTCACAAACTTCTGTTATCTGGGCTGCCAGATAAGAAATGACAACTGTCTTGCGTCCGAAATCCCTGCGCGTATAGTGGGAGCTGCTACCACCTTCAGGAAGTTAAATCAGAGTGTGTGGAAATCTCATGACATCACACTGCAGAAGAAGCTCAGTTGACCATGCCATAGTACTGCCGATCCTTTTATACACCGCTGAAACCTGGTGCCTTTATAAAGGTGAAATTAGGAGGCTGGACACGTTAAACCTAAAATGCCTATGTTCCATCTTGTGCATCAAATGGCAGGACCATGTCACAAATGCTGATGTTTTTTGACGTTCAAATACTCACGGCATGGAGGCCCTACTGATGAGAGGACAACTGCGATGGTTCAGTCACATCTAGCGGATGGAAGACTGGAGAATACCAAAGCAAGTATTCCACTCAAAGCTTTCGAGTGGGAAGCTAAACTCTGGTGGGCAGTACCTTTGCGATAAGGACTTCTTCAAATGTCATCTGACTGCATGTAGTTTGGCCACAGAAGACTGGGAGGAGGTTGCTCAAAGAAGATCAATTTGGCGTTCAAAGATCGAGAAAGGCGTCTCAAACTTTCTGCCTTTCTGAGTTGGGCCTCAAACGACAAATTCGCAAGAACCGACATAAACCCTCCTACAACTACACCTACAACAGTGTAGGTCAGCTATACTGCATAACCTACGACTGAATATTTAAGATGAAGTTCGGATTAGCCAGCCACATTTGAGCACATGCAAGAAGCTAGCCAGGGTCGCCATCGTCGGACACGATGCGAACGACATCATCACAGGAGGCCCCATATGGCTTCCTAGCTAAATTCTACAAAACCTTCTGGAAGCAGCTGACCCAAATCCTTTTAGAGATGTTTACTGAGTCCTTGAATGCAAACATGCTCCCCAAAACTCTCAACCTTAAATTGTTGGTTGTGAAAAAGGGTAAAGACCTATTAACTCTCCTGATGCCTTTGGTTCAAAATAACCAATGAGGCCACAGTCTTAAAATTGAGGCTTTGTGCGATATATTGACCCAAGGGCAGCAGGGGGTTTCACATCAGCTCATCAACCTTTTGAATGTTGACTGAATTTAACAGCAAAATTACTATTCAGGGGCTTAGAAACAGTTTTACCCTCAATTATAGCTCTAGATCAAAGTGAAATTTTATCCACAATAGATAGAATAAATAATATTTTTTGAAAATTTTAATTTGGGGAAAAGTTATTTTGTATCTTGCCCCTGAATAAACAGAATAAAACCAGAGAGTCACCTGTCCAAGACACTGCTTCCTCCTGAGAGAGCTGCGGTTGTAGAGCTTGACTGACAGTGAGCAGGCGTGCTCTAAGGACGTCAACGGGAAGTGGAATGTCTCGTCCCACTGACACCGACCTCCTGACGCCTTCAACGCTCGAGTCTTCTTCTTTATGGCCACCTGACCCAACTGGTGCATCTCCACTTTGATGAAAAAGGCTTCAAACGAAACAGAATTTAAAACTTTTATCTGAGAGTCCCTCAGTTATTCATTTTACTGGTTACATCAGGAGTCAGCAGCCTTCACAATAAAAATAACATTTCTCTCACTAAAAACAAATGTGTTGTCAGCTGCAAAACAAATCTGAGTTTTGAAAAAAGACGACATCTCATTGAGTGGTGATCTGTACTGCAGGCAAATAAAATAATAAATATGTCAGAATGAGCACAGAGCGTAGGACCAAAAACATAAAATATTGATTTTACGGTAATTATACCGGGGTGCAGTAAGAGGGAATCTCATCTAAACAAAATAACTTATGAACTAAAGAATGAATTTTAATGAAACTCAAAGTATTTTTTGGTTGTACATCAATAACTGTCTAAGTCAACTTGATTTATTAGGAAAACAAAAAAAATGGCTTTGACAGTGAATTTTACAGATGCTGAGCTAACATTTGGTGTGGTAGTAGCTGAGGGTCAGTCCCAACACATAATCTGAACACTTTCTGAGCACTTTGTTCAATGCCTTGGCATGTAGCCAGAAAGTAACAAACATTCAGAGCTGAGCAGCAGCAACAAGCTACCTGGACTTCCTCTGGTTTCTCCTATTGCCATCATTCCCAGATACCTGGCCCTGTCCAGGTTTCTACACCTGCTGTCTGACCAGGATACCTGGCTCAGCCCAGGCCTCTCCATCAGCCTCCGAACCATTTGGTCTTCTCCACTAGTCATCAGGACCAGTTACCTGGCCTAGCCCAGGCTTCTCCACCAGCAGCTGGGCCCAGCTGGGTTTCTCCATCTGTCACCAAGCCAAGCTATGACATGGCCTATAGGCTCCTTACCTGGCCTAGTTGCGAGGCGTTGTCTCGGGGACAAAACCAGGCTCCAAAGCCTAGCACCAAGCCAAGGTACTCAGAAGGTACCTTACTTTCCTACCAGCCATCGATTATGATGACATTTACATGAATGCCCCTGCCAGCTCCTTGCAGATGTTGGATGCCGTCTACCACGGTGCTCTAAGATTCATAACTGGCTGTAACTACCGTACCCACCACTGCACCCTGTACTCATTGGTCAGTTGGTCATCATTAGCTACACATAGGCTCTCACACTGGTACACCATCTATAAACCACTCCTGGTCTACTGTCTTCTTATATCTCCTCTTATACGTCATGTCGTCAGTGCAGTTACAGCGTGCGCTCTCAGGGATTCATTACCAGCAGCATTTCCTCAGTACCCACAAAACACTCTTTGTGGGTTCGTTGTTATATTCTTCATAGAGTTTCCTGTGCCTCAAACAGAAGTTTTGTGTCTAGTCCAGAGTGACTGTGTTCCTTGTGTTAACAGTTCAACTCTTTATAATAAAAATCTTTTAGTTCTTTGATGCCCGAGTCCTTTTCTGCCACTGTGAAACCAGAACCATGAATCTAGCTATGCCAGTTAATAATAGCATTCAACCTTCTTAATTTACGTTTAAAGTCAAGCTTTCAAACAGGCATGTCTTCAGAATAGTCCATTGAATCTCAGCTTTTCAGTTAAATAATCTGAGATTAATGCAATGCGACGAACAGCACCTTGTTTTTTCCTTCTGCCTCAGTCCGGATCGTCTTTCTGAAAATGTTTTGCCGTTTTTGTTTTTACATTTATTTCTTCTGTAATTTGGTTTCTTAATGCTTGTGTGTGTCTCATTCTGTTCCAGTTTCCTCTGTGCCATCATTCATCAGTATTAGTTCCTCCAGCTCATGCCCCGCCCACTCTCACCTGTTCACAGTCTTCACTCAGCCCAGGTGTCTGTCATTCATTCACCTGATGAGCATTTCACATGCTCGCCTCGTCTCCCCGTGTTTTACTACTGCTGCTGCTGCTTTTCTTCAGTTTATATCAGCTTTTTGTTTTGCCTTATAATAAAAACAAGATTTATTTTTTGGACCTCCTCATGTAGAGTCTGCATCCATGGATCCAAACCTTCATTTATCGTGACAGATGTGGTAAAAATTGTATATTTTTTCTAGGATTTCTGAGAAAGATCATTTTGTTAAGCTGGAAATTGAATTAATGTTAACATGCTAATAAAATAATGCTAATAAACCCGGAAGTTGAAGCTGGAACAGGACCAGAACCACAGTTGCAGTGAAATAAATAACACTTACCGTGGGAGAGAGGTGAGGAAGATGGGGGGAGGTTCTGGGCAGCGTGGACCTCGAGTTGGATGCGTCCGTTAACTGGCTGAAAGCAGGTGCTGACATGCAGATCAGAGCGGCTCACCTGTCAAACAATGTTTCATGCTGGTCGACATATTTAGGCATTTATTTGATGATTTCATGCAGTCTAGGATCAAAACAGCCATTATCGTCAACCATAAGGCAAAGGTGGACGATAACGTTTTTACCTGTGAGCTTGTGTTCCTGTGTCTCATCAAAACATCTCACGACAAATTTGAATGATCGCACAGAAACTAATCCGTCTGTAAATCTATAAAAAAATAACTTTTGGAGACAAAGATCAAGGTCACGTCCAGCTGACCTCAGAAAGATGATTATTCTTGGTCTGATGTGTGGTGGCTGATAACTCCAGTAGGGACAGTGACTGGACTCTGACTTACTCTAAATGTGTTCCACACACCCATCCACCCATTCATCCAACCATCCATTCATCCATCCATCATCCAACCATTCACCCATTCACCCATTCATCCATTCATCCAACCATCCATTCATCCATCCATCATCCAACCATTCACCCATCCACTTATCTATCTGCCCACCCATCCAGCCATCCATCCATCCATCCATCCAACCATCCATCTGCCCACCCATCCATCCATCCATCCATCCATCCATGCATCCATTCACCAATCCATCCATCCATCCACCCATCCATCCATCCATCCATCCATCCATCCATCCATCCATCCATCCATCCATCCATCCACCAATCCATCCATCCATCCACCAATCCATCCATCCATCCATCCATCCATCCATCAACCCATCCATCCATACATCCATCCATCCATGCATCCATTCACCCATTCACCCATCCACTTATCTATCTGCCCACCCATCCAGCCATCCATCCATCCAACCATCCATCTGCCCATCCATCCATCTGCCCACCCACCCATCCATCCATCCATCCATCCATCCATGCATCCATTCACCAATCAATCCATCCATCCATCCATCCATCCATCCATCCATCCATCCATCAACCCATCCGTACATCCATCCATCCATCCATCCATCCATCAACCCATCTGTACATACATACATCCATCCATCAACCCATCCATACATCCATTCATCCATCCACCCACCCATCATCTTCCTCTTGTTCTGAAGTCAGGTCTCAGGGGCAACATCTTGAGCATGGAGGTCCAGACATCTCTTTCCACAGCCGTCACTTCCAGTTCTTCTGGGAGGACTCCAAGGTGTTCCCAGGTCAACCGAGAGACATAGTCTCTCCAGCGTGTCATGGGTCTTCCCCCAGTCAGACGTGCCCAAAGCACCTCCCTAGGGAGGCGCCCAGGGAGCATCCTTACCAGATGCCCGAACCACCTCAACTGGCTCCTCATGTGGAGGAGCAGCGGTTCTACTCAGAGTCTCTCCTGATAACTGAACTTCTCACCCTGTCTCTAAGGGAGAGTCCAGCTCCCCTGCAGAGGAAACTCATTTCACCACGACCACAAACTTTTACATCTGACCTCAGAGTGTTGATGTACAGCCAGTTTTCACTGTCCTCTCACTTTAGAAGCTGCTGTTTGTTTTTTCCTTTATTTCGTTTTTGCACAAAAAAAAATCAATCTCAGTTTCTAAAAGTTTCCTCTGTAATAGGAATATGGAACATTAAGGTCTTTTGTCCAGCAGATGGGTACTTACAGAGTGAGAGAGGTTCTGATGATGACTCACTGTCTGATCTCAAACAGGTTTTACTGGTACTGGTCAGAAAAATATCCATTTACCAACAATGCTGGGAAAATGAAATGGTTTGAGATTTGACCTACTTTCTGTCTCTTCCATTTTCAGGCTGCACAATCTAATAAAATATAGTTCTGATAATTAAACCTTTTCTCTTTCCTCTTCGGTGATGGACCAGAAATCATGCGTAAGCAGCATCACTACATTCAGGTCAGAAGTAGGATGTTAAAGATTGTCTACGTTGCAGCCTAAGGACAGTTTTATGATGCCTTTGTTTGTTTCTTGTAGCTCGTACAAAGGACGGGTAAACACCAAGTTGTAGCTTAATATCAGTAAAACTGACGACTTGTAGCCATTTTTATTTTTGCTCATGTTGAATAAAAGCTCTGAGCAGATCTTTCAGTGGCAGACTGGAACAAACAACACAGGACTGGACATTTCTGAAGGTCCTTCATTCCATCAGCAACCGTTTTAACAAACGTTAAATGATGGAATATTTAATGATGCAACATCAGATGTGAAACTCCACCGTGTTCCTCTTTTTACTCATTGTATGGATTGTGTGAATATATTTCAGTTTTATACAAACAGTTCCTGACTGTTGTTTTCTGTTATGGTCCACCGCAGTTACAGTAATGTGAGAATGTATCAAGTGCGGGATGAACAAATTTAGTTTTTGTTCTTATTCTTATTAAAAAGTTCATCAGTTGTACACATACTGTGTGTTGTCTTTCTTCTTCTTCTTCTTCTTCTTCTTTCACCTGTTCCCTCTTCAGGGTCGCCAGAGAAAGTCATCCTCCTCCATATCACTCTGTCCTGACTCTGTGTCCTCACTCTGTCCTCTGTCCTCACTCCAACTTCCTCCATGTCCTCTCTAACTGCATCATATAACTCCCCTTTGTCTTTTTCCTGGCAGCTGCGTTTCTAACATCTTTCTACCAGTATACCCACTGTCCCTCCTCTTGACATGCCCAAACCATCTCAGTCTGGTCTCCCTAACTTTATCTCCCAGTTGTTCAACCTGTGCTGTACCTCTGAAGATCTCTCTCCTCAGGAGAACCTCAACATCTTCATTTCTGCCATTTCCAGTTCTGTCTCCTGTCTTTTTGTCCATGTCTCCAGACCATACAACGTAGCTGGTCTCACCACTGTCTTGTAAATATTGTGGTACATCTACTGATCACTCTGTGAGTTTCATTACATTTTGTCCAGGGAGTAAAATATTTTGCTAACAGACAGACAGACAAAAACATTAACCACCCACTGTCACAACATGGAGGAAGGTGATACTAAATGAACTGTTATTAGCGAAATAAATAATTTTGAAAGATGAATCTGAGATGAAGAATGATCGTCAACGTGTTCTGATGCTCAGCTGCGATTCAAACACCAGGAACGAACATGAAGCACAAAGTGGACTCAGAAAGTCCAGATGACGTCTTACTGAGGATTTGGACGGAGGCTTGAGGCGGAGGCAGTGCTCGGACTCCTGCGGGCCGAGCTGTCTCAAAGAGAGAACGCACTCTGCCACCGTGCGCCTCCTGGGCTGTTGCGTCTGCAGCTGCAGCACCAACGCTCCACGCTGCAACTGCTGGAGCCGCAGGGCGAACACAAAGGTCTCCATGAAGGACACGTCCTGACAGGACAGGAGGACAGGACAGGAGGAGGCATCAGGCACATCTCACACAAACCATAAGCTTTTAATGTAACAGTACATGTTCATTCATTGTATTTTCTACCAAACTGATGTTTTAGAAATAAATCTTCTTATATTGAAGTTTTTCCTGAAAAACTGCAGATAAAAAAAAACCAATGTCAGCATAAAGGAAGTAATTTGGTTGGAAAAAACAGCATCAAACTAAATAACGGTGTCATGTTAAATTGTACCGTAGAAGTTTAATTTCAGATAATCCAACAAATTCAAGTCAGGCCATCTGGACGGTTTCTTTTCTTGTTGAGACGTTATGTCCTTCAAAAAGGATGTCATGAGTCCGACAACAAACTCAGTCCCACAAGCAGCACAATCATATAGTGGACCAACCAGTTTGCTGGTGATAAGATGGTTTCTGGGGCCCGCCCTCTCCCCCGTCAACTCCTCTGAGGCAGCCGTAGCAAAAGTGGTTAAAAACATCAAAGTTAATGCTCAATAATCCAGGTTTAAAAAAAAACCAACAATGTTCAGTCTGGTCATCTGGATGGTTTCTTTGTTTTCTATGTTTTAAAACACTTTGGCCACGGCTGCCTCAGAGGAGTCGAGGGGGGAGAGGGTGGGCCTCAGAAACCATTTTATCACCATAAAACTAGTTGGCCCACTATGTGAATGTGCCACTTATGGGACTGAGTTTCTTGGGACTCCTCGGACTGATGAAGTCCTTTGGATGAAGGACGAAACACCTCAAAAAAAAAAAAAAAAACGTCCAGGGGACCTGACTGAACTTGGTTGATTTTTTTACTTGGATTATTGAGCATGAACTTTGAAATATCAGATAATGTTTCATAAACGTGACAACGAACATCAGGCCTTTATTTAGCCACGTCTGGACAAAGACTCGTGACCTTTTCTTCCTCTGGGCTCAAAAACTGACATCACAGGTGCTAACTATTGCTAACAGGCTATTAGCACCATGCTACAACATGATGCTATTTGACAGAAGATCACTTTAACCATCAGCAGACTTTAGGGTAACCTGTGGTTGCTGATGTTTCCCAGTACCTGGCAGTACTCTCGGACTGAGCTCCTGAACTGGACAGGTTTGGGAACGGTGATGGTGGCCTTGAAGCATATCTGCTGTTGTTCCACCTCGCTGAGATGAAGGTTGAGGTTTGAACACTGAAAAACAAAAATAAGAATCACAGACCTGCATTCTTTACCTCAGAGTTTTGGACTGAGATCATCTGATGTTGAGAAATGACAGATGTTGACATTTGGATCAAACTTTAAACTAATTTATGCAATACAGCAGGATGTCACAGTCAGAGTAGGTGTTGTCAACGACTCTCAGCTACTCCCACAAATTTAAGCTCAGTATCTGTAAAACTGTCTCAGTTATGTTCGAGTTATGGCTAACGCAGCTGTGGCAGCCATATTGAATAGGGCTGACCTGTCGAGTGCTTCATGGCAGCTTCTGATCACCGACACAGGCAGAAACATTACTGCCTGTCAGCCATGTGTGACGAGAAGCTGAAGGGTGTCCAAGGACAACAAAGGTCCGGTTTATGCTCTCAGAAACACTTGAGAAACCCCAGCGTCTGCATGAATAAAGAGGTGTAATGTTCAAGTCTGCTGATCTCACAGCTCTACCTCCAGAGGAGAAACAGGAGCGCCTTTCATCTTTTCTTGGCCCCTGCTTCACGAGGAACTGAAGCTGCTCTTTCCATTAAAACTTTGAAGCTACAAACACTGAGAGAATGTCATGACTGTGCGAGCACTCACTGTCTTCCTGCGTTTTAACATCAGCCAGGACAGTTTGGTGCTTTAAAATGCAGCGTTTTCCATCCAAGTGTCTGAGTAAAGGTTATTAAAGCTCTGAGAGAAGCTCTGTTCTGGACTCACAAGGGCTCCATTGATAACAGCTCCAGCAACAGAACAATGAAGCTTTCTGTAGCCAAGGCATTCACACCACATGTAACCTTACCTGGACCAGGGTGATCCACACCTGTTCCAGATCCTCCCGATAGATCAGCCGGACCCACACCTTCCCCAGCTCATGCTCGTCCTCAGACATGTTGATCGAGTCTGGGAAGCCGAGGAAAGCAACGTGAACACAATGAAAATCAGCGCATTATAAATAATGTGCAGACAGACAGGATTCTCTGCATGAAAGGGAAGTCAAACAGTCTTGGTGCTAAACTGAGTTTCAAAATGTATAATATATCTCTGTGTCTAATGCTGCCTTTGCTTTAGCTCATTAATCACATTTGCACACTTTACGTTTTGTACAGTTTCAATTAGTTACACTGTCTCTTGGTTGATTAAATTTTTCTCTGCTGCCGTAAAATAAATTCTCAAGATGAGAGTTTTAAATTATGCCTGTCTGTCTAATGGACTCCGGTTGTTTCCATTTTGTTGTTTGTTCTTTAGGTCAGATAATCCATAAGATCAACCATGTTTCCTTTTGATGATGATACTCAGCTGTGATGTTCATTTAAACCCCGAACATCCATAAAATGTCATCTTTAATTTGCTGCTTTGTGAGAATTATGCAGCAGATGAGCAACAATTATCTACAGCTTAAGTCGGACAGCATTAAAACTTTGATTATTGCTCAGGACCGTTCCATTTCTGCCATTAAACATCAACTGGGAGAACTGGGGTTCTTTAAGAAAATTTTTTGATGAAGTGCTGACCTCTCTTAAAACAGCTAATAAAAAAAACTGTTTTCCATGTAAGGTCATCTCAAAACTACAATCATTCATGTCAACAGGTAAATTTGTGATGATGATTCATGCTTTTGAATCATCCTTCAGTTCTGCTGCTACTGGATTAGACTGTTGGAGGATAAACAGACCACAACTCCTCACTGCTGCTGTGAGCTCTACTCTTCATGTTTGTATCTGCAATTATTCTTCTTCTTTATTCCCATAGAAAAAACACCTGCACCATAGAAATTAAACCTGCACCATAGACACCACACCTGGACCATAAAATCTACACCTGGACCATAGAATCTACACCTGGACCATAGACACTACACCTGGACCATAGAATCTACACCTGGACCATAGACACTACACCTGGACCATATAATCTACACCTGGACTATAGAAACTATATGCAGCTCATGGAATTGATGCCTGGACCGTTCATTCTGTATTTGTGACACCTTCCTGTCTTCTCTGACCCCAGCCAGTTGAGACAGAGGAACACTCATACTGAATGTGGTTCTGGTACTGGTTCTGCTTGAGTAAATATAGTATATATATACTATACTAGGCCTCTCAGCGGTTTGTTATCTCATCATGTAGGCCTTTCATATTGATTTGTGGAAAAAGTATTGCATTTTGTGGGCCTATTATCTTGAACTTCAGGACCATTATCTTGTCCTATGGGCCAAGTAGCCTGACTTGTGAGACTAGTATCTCAGCAAACAGGGCTAGTATCTCATCTTGTGAGCCTAGTATTGCAAAGTTTTGGATGGGTATCTCATCTTGGGCTCTTGTATCTCGTCTTTTGGGCCTTGGTATCTCAGGTTGTGGGACTAGTCTCGTCTTGTGGGCCTAGTATCCTGTCTTGGGGACCTAAGATCTCTTCCTGTGGGGATATTATATAGTTCAGTTGGGATTGTATCTCGTCTTGTCGACCTAGTATCTCATCTTGTGGGACACTTACTATCTCAAGGGCCTAGTATATCCTCTTGTGGGCCTATCTTTCTTGTGGGGATAGTTTCTCATCTTTTGGGACTAGTATCTTGTCCTGTGGGCCTTGGTATCTCAAGTTGTGGGGCTAGTGCTAGTATTTCATATTGTGGACCTAGTATCTCATCTTGTGAGTGTAGTATCTTGTCTTGTGGGACTAGTATCTAGTCTTTTGGGCTTATTATCTCACCTTGTTGGCCTATTATCTTGTCTTGTGGACCTAGTACCCCATCTTGTGGGTCCAGTATCCCATCTCAAGGGCCTAGTAGCTCATTTTGTGGGGCTAGTATCTTGTCTTGTGGGGCTAGTTCATCTTGTGGGGTTAGTTTCCTCATCTCAAGGACCTAGTATCTCGTCTTGTGGGACTAGTTCATCTTGCGGGGTTAGTTTCCTCATCTCAAGGACCTAGTATCTCGTCTTGTGGGGCTAGTTCATCTTGCGGGGTTAGTTTCCCATCTCAAGGGCCTAGTATCTC